ATTTACTTGTGACCACTCAGTGTACATTGCTTGGATGGCTTAAAAAAAACCCATCAACCAGAACACCTTGATCTTTTTCTTCCATAACACTGTTAATTTTATTTCTGTCGAAACTATACTCATATTTTAGATTGTGATAACGTTCATGCATTACTTTGCGTTTATTTTAATTAAAAGCCATCTGCCATTTATTCACTTAACTCACCAAATAATCCAAATCTTTTTATAAGGTAGTCACATCCTCCTCACAGCCAGCAACACCCAAAACTTGAATGCCATCAGCAAAGTTCAATAGTATATTGACCATTCCTTCACCTATGTCATTAATGTAAATAAAAAAAGAAAGATACTAACACAGCCATAATGTATCCCTAACTTGGGACATTAATCCAGGTTGACTGAACCTCATTTATTAAAAGAAAACCTGCTTTCTTCACCTAGCCGGTTTTCTATTCAATGGTCCAACCTATCCTTTTTTAACAAGCTTTTGGTACCTTGTTAAATGCTTTCTGAAAATCCAGATATACCGAATTCATATTCGTACCCTTATATGAATATGCAGTAACCTCTTCAGAGAATGTCAAAAGATTAGTAAGGAAAGATTTTCCCTTAGTTAAACCATGTTGACTATCCAACAAAATTTTAAACTTTGGCAAATGACCTTACAAAGCATCTTTTATCAGACTTTCAAAAACTTTTCCTACCACTGTTGTAAGACTAATAGGCTTATAATTACTGGGAAACGTTTATCATCCTCCCTTAAAAAGAGGAGTAACATTAGCCAACTTACAATCTTCTGACACCTGCCCACTATTCAAGGACTTAGAAAATATAGTAGCAAGTGGATCACATATCCAATCCTTAACCACTTTCAAAACCCTTGGTTAAATATTATCTGGCCCAAGAATTTTGTCATTCTTTAAATTTTCAAGATTTGTATTAACAAGCTCAGAATTAATGTGATAATCTTGTTCAGTCTTCCTTCAATGTATTAATTGCTCAAATCTTCATCAGTTAATACTGAAGAAATAGAATTTAATAACTCAGCCATCTCTTAATCATCAGATATTAGCCTTTCTGTATCATCCCTCAAAGGCCCTACTCTCATCTTAACATTATATTTATCCTTAATGTATTTCAAGAAATCCTTACTATTTATTTTTACGTTTTTAGCCAAACTTTTTTCATGAACGTTTTTGATTTCTTAATTCCCCTTTGATTAACTCCCTTAATTATCTATAATCCTTCAAATCTCCAATCATTGCAGTAAATTTAAACTTCCTATATTTGTTGACAAATATTTTTTATTTGATATATAGTTTATTTATTTTTTATACTAAACTCAGCGAGGAGTATGAAGCTAATAATAATCTATACTCAATATTTTAGTGGCTTGGCAGTAATGAAGACCGTCGGACGCTCCAACAACATTTGGTACTTATAAGACTTAGTTGTGAAAATAAGACCGGAGAGGACGCTTTCGAGCCATGTGCAGCGATACGAGTTGGTTGGGCTCCAGGTTAGTGAATAACAACTTAAGTCTCTTTTATAAATATGATTGTCTGTGTTATCTTTCGTGGAAATGAACGTGGCATAATCTTCATTATATGACTGATGAATGAAGAAACAAACTATTATTTAGATAATTGATTTTTTATTGGCATTACGTTTGCTACTCCTTCAAATAGTTGTTACATGTTAGAAAAAAAGTTATTAACAAGTTTTGTTCTCAGAATTGTGATTCAAGAGGTCCATGTAATATGTTGTGAAATGTACAGAGGTCATACCGTTTGTAGAATGTTTGAAATTTATTACAATAAAAATAGAGTTGAACATTCAATGACAATCCAATATTGTTTTCTCCTACACCCATGTGGGATTTTTGGCAATGAATTTCCCCCTACAACTAGATACATAGTAAACTTGTCAGACAGGAACCTTCAATCTTCAACATGATGCGCTGTGTTACTTTTCATGTACACATTCGTGATTTGGACGTGAGTGGGCAATTTTGGATGAGTTATCTGGATGGTTTGTAGCTTGCCATGGTGATTGTTCAACTGAGAGGTGTGGATTGAATCATCGTGTGGTATGGAGTTAAACCAGTGAAAGTGAACTCTTGAGGGTCTTGTAGTTTAGTTTCTTGAAAGAGTTTGATGCTATAAAATTCGGAGAGTTTCTCAGACAATATTTGCTCCCTGTGATCGCCCTGTAACCTATTATAATGTGAGACTGGTGGAGTCTGGTGCAGTTTTTAGACACACGTAATTTCCCAGCTCGGTGTTTAAACCTTGTTTTCCTTGTTCTTCTCCTGCTGGACAGTCGAGGTCATCTGCAAAATGCACGAGTTTCATTGCTTCCACTTACAGACAATACAAATTGACTGAGGCATCACTATTTGACCGCTTTTAACTTTGTTTCCCATCCAATCAGTTACGGGCACAACTTAATATATCCAATCACGACTGAATTTCTTTTAGAAAATGATTCTGAACAATGAATGGTTAAGGTATTGCATATAGACAATAATACATTTAAAAAATTCCACCCATACAGATGCCAGTCTTAACCTATTGTTTAACGTGCTCAAACTTTGAATCCGGCGTTTTGTGATACGCGACTCGTAACAGCAAAAAACGCATTTCGCAATTTGAAGTCGTGGATGCACTATACGAGTGTTGGTCTAAAACCACTCTTCAAGCAAACAAGAGAAGAGTTGGCGATGACTGCTTTTGTCTAACTGCCTTCCGTCTAGTCAATCAATTCAAAATTCAGGACATCAAGCACAGATAGCTCATTGAGTACCTTTGGGCAAAATTCTAAAATAAAAAAACTTTAAATGATTTGCTCCCAATGGACGAAACTAGGTTCATTCGAGGATGAAGGGTTGACTTATTATTATTTTTTTCTGTTTTATTGCAACTTTATAACAAATAGATCCAATCACAATAAGAACACAGGAAAGTTATACTGTTAACCTAAACTTTCTGAGAAATATTTTATCAAATTACTATTCTGGCATTGAATGATTGAAAGTAATTGTAACTATCGAGAAATTTATAATGCTTGGAGACGGCTTGAATGGGTAATGAAGAAAAACTTTAATATAAGTTTAACATAACAGCAAATGTACAAAGTTTTGACAAGGTTTTGTCATCATCAGGTACAAGTAGTTTACACTGACACAAATATATATATATATATATATATGCAGTATAACAAAGAGGTCACATGATGACAAAATCTTGTCGCAACATTGTACATTTG